CTCAAGGGATCCTTGAATCTTCCTTTCAAGTCAGCTTGAAGTTTGGCAAGAGATGCCGAGAGGCTGGTATTTTCAAGCATGCAAATATCCAGGCTTTCAGCTCTGGTAGAGTGTCTGCATCACATTGTCCGAGTACGTTGCCAGAAACAGCATTCTGAATCTGCACCAACACCATGGCTGGCCACACCACTGATCTTTGCTGTTGAATAGTTCCAAACATGCAGGCTATCCTGTCTCCAAGTTTCCTTCCTGAAATTGTAAGATAACTACTGTGGAACGAAAATAAAAACCTCAAATCACGGTCTTGAAGACTTGGTTGTCCAAGAACTAAATTCGTCGTCGTAGCCAACAGAGCCAAAGCAGCTGCAATACACCGACTGCACTAAGTACAAGCGCTACAAACAGCGACTTGTCAGCCAGTTTCAGCACTGCAAAGTGATGCAAAATTCAGGCCCCAGGCAGCTTGCAAAATGTCAATTCGGTCATGTTGACTTGGCGGTACGCGAGAAATGCCTAAGCAAAGACTCTGAATGTGTTCCGTATGCGTCGTGTCTGTGCGACAGAGAAACGAAACTCACAAAGCCGGCATACGTTCATGTTTCCTTTGACTGGCAAAAGGTCCTTTCATTGAATGCAGGAGATAGATCTGCTAAATCCGCAACATATCAAAGAAGTCAAGCTGCACTCTGCAAATTTGTCTGCCAGCAGTGAGTCCTGCCAGCCAAGGGAAAAAAACATTATTACGAACCATGGTGCAAGAACTTGCTGGAAGTATCATATAAAGACTTTTAGCCGCGGTAAATTGCATTTCGTACATGCTGCCAAATAAACAAGGTTTTCGATGTGTTCCAAGCATCGGGTCCTTCACAAGCCAAGCATGTGATTTTAAGAGTAGGTCGGTGGCTTCCGTAAAGGCTGTGTGAGCCACCATAACCTTTGGATGCAAAAAAGGATATAGCAACCTGACCGTCGATTTGACAAAGTGTTTTTTTACACTAACCAAGGCGCGGGCCTTTCTCTTTAAGTGCTCAACGAGCAGCATTTGATCAAGTCTGCAAGGGCCAAAATTTCATGGAGATGTCTTGTGCACTTGCCAGAATGTGTCCACCCAGGACAACCATCAAATTCTGTCGTCAAATGGCTGTGTTTGAATCGTGGTCATACATAGGCGCGGTGAAATATGTTCTACTGCATCGTCGGGAATTTTCATGCATTTTCCGTCCCGCATCGAGCCATGGCCTCTCTTGCCAAAGCGGTGTTCCCTGGATGACACCATCCTCTCAACAGCACCAGGAAACAGGTGCTATATTGTAATATATATATATATAATTATATATATACAGAAGGGAGGATGAGGGGACGTGAAGGCGTGCACATTGTAGAAACGCGCATGTTTCGCATCTATCCCAAACTTTCATACAAACAATCCAAATTCTAAAAAGAAAAAAACCGCCCCAAAACAGATGGAAAAGCAAAAAAAACATGTCATGTCACCTGTCCAGCTTCTCCTAAGACCCTCTCCATGGGTCGAAACTTTTTTGGGGGGGGTTCTCGAGGTTTTTGCCACCTTGGCCCAAGAATGCCCCAAAACCCATGGAAAACCCAAAAAAGATTACTTTACTTCGATTGATCCCCGCCATGACATTTATACAGTTTGTTACTGGCATATCTTCTGGCATTCTACCTGGCATATCTTCTGGCATATGTTCTGGCATATCTTCTGGCATTCCATCTGGCGTTCTATCTGGCATATCTTCTGGCATATTATCTGGCATATCTTCTGGCATTCTATCTGGCAAACATTCTGGCACTTTATCTGGCATATCTTCTGGCATTCCATCTGGCGTTCTATCTGGCATATCTTCTGGCATATTATCTGGCAAATCTTCTGGCAAACATTCTGGCACTTTATCTGGCATATCTTCGGGCATTCTATCTGACATTTTATCTGGCATTCTATCTGGCATACCTTCTCGCATTCTATCTGGCATATCTTCTAACATTCTATCTGGCATATCTTCTGGCACTCTCTCTATCTGGCAAATCTTATGGCATTTTATCTGGCATATCTTCTGGCATTCTATCTGACATTCTAACGGGCATATATATCTTCTGGCGTTCTATCTGGCCGTTGAGGTCCAGCGGTGCGCACTGAGCTGGGAAGGCCCCAGGTTGAGGTCCAGCGGTGCGCACTGAGCTCGGAAGGTCCCAGGTTGAGGTCCAGCGGTGCGCACTGAGCTGGGAAGGTCCCAGGTTGAGGTCCAGCGGTGCGCACTGAGCTGGGAAGGTCCCAGGTTGAGGTCCAGCGGTGCGCACTGAGCTGGGAAGGTCCCAGGTTGAGGTCCAGCGGTGCGCACTGAGCTGGGAAGGTCCCAGGTTGAGGTCCAGCAGTGCGCACTGAGCTCGGAAGTTGGCGAAGAGCTTGGCGAAGAGTTGGCAAGGCGGAAGTGGAGGTGGAAGTTGATGCAGACATGGTCGAGGAGAAACTGGAGGAGGAGGCGGAGGAGGAGGAGGCGGAGGACAACAGCTCTGATAAAATCTAACAACCCTCACCTGGCAGATGGGGAAAAATGTTTCATCCCATGTCACTTGTCCAGCTTCTCCTCAGACCCTCTCCATGGGTCGATTTTTTTTGGTTTTCTCGAGGTTCTTGCCACCTTGGCCCAAGAATGCCCCAAAACCCATGTAAAAACCAAAAAAAACAAAAAAAACAAAAAGATTCTGTCCAGTTTCTCCTCAGACCCTCTCCATGGGTCGATTTTTTTTTGTTTGCTCGAGAATACCCCAAAACCCATGGAAAAACAAAAAAAAACACCCCATGTCACCTGTCCAGCTTCTCCTCAGACCCTCTCCATGGGTCGATTTTTTTTGTTTTTGTTTTTGTTTTTTCGAGGTTTTTGCCACGTTGGCCCAAGAATGCCCCAAAACCCATGGAAAAACCAAAGAAAAAGTTTCCTCAGACCCTCTCCATGGGTCGAAACTTTTTGTTTTTGTTTTTTTTTCGGTTTTCTCGAGGTTTTTTGCAACTTTGTCAGTCCAACAATGTCAGTTGCTCATTTTTCGTGTTTTTTGTTTTCCTGTTTTTTTGGGTTCCTGGGAGAAATTTTCACCCTGACAAGCATCCATTGGCACAGCTTTCACTCGTCCACATTTTATATTGGTGTCTTCATTGAGTTACTGATTTTGGCTACTGAGCCATCAGAGAAAATGTATATACAGTAAAAATAGTTGTATCACCCACCTCTTTAGGTACTCCATTGGACTGATCTTTTATTGGTATGCCGAGGTTTTGGTTCCTCATCTTGAAAGGTTTGGCACGTGTTCTTCAAACCTGGAATCACTAAAAGTTATATCTAACTAAGACTCTATTTTTCAAAAATGGATTGTTTAACCAACACTTTGTTGTACAAAAAATATGTTTGTCTCAAAGTGTTTGCTCCTTCAAAAAGGCAATATTGTATCCCTCACGACAAGATTCCTCTAAAGAAGGATGTTGTTTTCCTTTGGAAGAAACAGATACTATTTTGTAGAATGCCACATTATTCTTCTTGGCAACTCTTGCATACCACAGATAAGGCATTTCTTGAAGAAATGATGGTATTCCTTTGAACAGACATGTTCATTTTAAAGGTTCAAGTTTTCATTGTACAATGTAATAGGTTGAAAGAAACAACATTCTTGTAGTCATGCATTATATCTTGAAAACAATAGTCTAAGATGTACTAGTTTTTCAAACAAAATGTATGGTTGAAATATATCACACTATTTTCAAAGCAAATCCGTCCTCCTCCCACTAGTCAGACATCACTCCTATAAAAATGAACAATATTCCATTCAAGGATGCAATACTACAACAATTTTTTGTTCAATACAGCCTACAGCCCATTATCTGCTTTGAAAGGGGCAGTAATTGTGCAGAGCATGCAGTAAATCTTTCAAACATGTGCTTGTATGTTTACATTTTCACAAAGGTACAGTACACAATTCACTGCAGAAAGCAGGGTTGTTTTCAAGACGAATGATCTTCTCAAAAAAAAAAAAACTGTTCAAGATACAGCAGTCTTTTCAGGAAGTGCATGTCTAAAGTTTCAGTTGCGCTTTCATGCGCAAAATGTATTGTTTCCCTGCAAGTGTGTTACTGTTATTCAACAAGGCAGCGCTTGTTGAAGCGCATGTTCAATCTGGACATGTTCTTTTGTGAAAAGCACTCATGAACAGCATGAAAGGATGCAGCACACTTTTCAGAAAATGCAGAATTTGCAGCTGGAAATTGCACTCATGTCTGTTCAATATCAAATATATACTTTTCGAGAAACATAAGCTAGTGTGAAAAAAAACAAAAAATATCAATGGTGTGTATATATATATATACATATGGTAATATATACCACAATATAATGCAGAATTCATTGCAGGCATCAAAATCATTGATGAAAGCACATTTCTTGTAAGATTACATTGTGGTTTGAAATATTTTGTTTGAAATGTAGCATGACCATCTCATAACCACACCAACTCATGCATAATGATGCAAAACCTTGTAAAATCAAACCTTTCACCACTCCACCCCCCATGGTAAGCCGCTCTCGCACCAGGAAACAGGTGCTATATTGTAATATATATATATATATACATACATACATACATACATACATTACATACATATATATATAATATGTATGCAAAAAAAACTACCTGTTGGTAGTTTTTAGACTCAGAATCGGTTTCTGTCCTTGGGTTCAGCTCCACTATTGGGCAAACCGTTCATGGCATAGAGCTTCTTCTCGGCCTCTGCTTTTCACACAGTCTACCCCGACTGCTAGAGTGATAAAACAAAACATCATCAAACATCACCACACATCATAAAACACCAGCTTGATCATGCCCCAATATGTTCAATTCTGCAGATTCAATCCAACACCCGATCAGCATCTAGTCCAAGATGTCAACCTGCATACGCTCACGGAATTCAGCATCATAAGCTTGCCAACCCCACGGGGAAAGCTCCTGTGTTAGTCAGCTGCACCTCAAGATTGCCCAAGTGAAATTGAAAGTGCGGAAAGAGATTGCCCAAGTGAAATTGAAAGTGCGGAAAGAGAACTTCCATGAAGTTTCAAGATGCTCAAACAATGTTAGCAACAAATATGGTCACTACGGTCACCAAAAAATACAACTAGAACCCAAAACACTTGGCATGCCATACTGTGCCACTGGGTCCTCTTTGACGGCTGTGAGCCACTTCCGCAAATCGTTGAAAGTGGTCCGGGGATCGTTTGGACCCCCTTCTGAATATTCCAGCAGCCTTGATTTGCAGCGCAAATCCAGGGAACTGATTGTTCAACAAACTGCACGAAACAAAATTAGATTCCAAATCAATCAAACAAACAAAAATGTCGTCGGTGCATCTCAAATTTGAATACCACCTGGTCATGCGTTTTTTCCCAGACAGGACTACTCTGAGAACCGCTCCGAGACACCATTGTCACTTGAGTCTACCCACGCTGTTCCCAAAAGCATTCCATGATTGAGATTGAATTGCCATAAGGTTCGTGGCTCAATGAGTACAATGCAGTTTCCATACATGATTCTGTGAACAATTTGGAATGTTTAGCAACGTGTTTGTCGTTGGGAGGATAACCAACCAAACCGTCTAACAACCAACCAAACCATATGAGACAAGGGCCAACCACTATTGTTCCACTGACGCAAATCGAACAAAATGACATTGTAAATGACCATTTCGGTGAACCATCTTCCGAGATGTTCGTAGCATTCACTTGTTTGTATGTTTTGCTGGGACCTACTGGTTTGATTTTTTCTGCTGATGCTGTTCTTGCTGTACATTTCAACCCATGTTTGGTTTCGCCAAAAAAACTGCGGAAGGTCAAACGTCAAATTGTTTTGTGCAACATTCAAGATTCCGACAGGCTTTACCAGTTTGCAGCCTGCGTATTTCCAAGCCCCAGGTTGGTCCAAAATAAGATTCAGAATCATTGTTGAAAGAAAACCAACAATATTTCAGGGTGACAACACAATTAAATGCCGCCTAATCCAATTTCACTGCAATTTTATATTTTTCCGGACCAATTACAAAAGGCTGAATCTGTTGAAATGAACCTCGTTTACAGGAAAAACATAACCATTGCAACATTCCAATCGCAAAAACAAACACAAACATAAAGCAAGAATATCCTAAAATCAATTGAGCCAACAAACTGGTAACGGGCCATACTGGCAACAAATTCGATCCGCTCGCCGTTTATGTTCGTCGTCCAATTTACTTTTGGACGTACCCAACAATTCTGCCGAAACAAACTGCCTCCAGTGTTTTTTTTGCGACGGTTATCCCCAAAGTGATGCCGCACTTTCCAAAACAAAAGGCTAAAATTCCTTAAATTGATTTAAATTGTTGATTTTTCCCACGGTTGGGCACACGTTCCTAACAATGCCCCAATCAAATCGCCGGATCCACGGCGAATCACCAAAAATAATACACGTTCCCAAAACCATAGCGAATCGGTGCAACCAGTAGACGACAGATCGCCCGCGAGCGCAAGAAAACACAATTACTAAACCACATGTAAATTTGCAGGAAAATTTGGGGTCAAAGGGAACGGGACGAAAGCTAGTTGGGCGACGAGATATGTGCATTGAAAGAATATATGGCGCGACCTTTTGGGTGTCATTTTTTGAACTAAAACCCTCTACCATTCGATGTTGCTGACGCGCTGACAGCAGCGCATCATGATCTTTAGTTCGCATGCACCATAATCATTCCACAACCTTCCCCCTGACATCCTAGCATACCAGCGTCAAAATTACGCTCTTAGTACTCTACTTGCCAAATACAAAGTGCCCCAACAAACCGCGTTTCGGCTCAGCCATTGTGCAACATTCTGATCCAACCTTTTTCCCTCAACCTTTCCTCCCTTGTTCCTCTTCATCACATATTACATGTTTTGTAAATATTATATCATCTATCTATCTATCTACCTACCTATCTACCTATTTATCTATCTATCTATCTATCTATCTATTTCTCTCTCTCTCTCTGCACTTATGCTTGTGATGAATATATCTAAGTATTTTTATCTGCCTAGCTACATATCGATATACCTATAGTCTACTTCTATAACTTTAGAAATATATCCTATCCACTGTGCAAATACCCCCTCTTAGAATCTGGTAACTTTGGTGCATGCATCCATCGAACAAGATATGTTTGGGTATTTTTATTGGCATTTTCCATTCCTCGCCAAGACCTGGTCATGTTTTCATGCAGACCTCCTGAAGAAATGGAATGCAAGATTCCAAGCGGCTGTCCTCTCATCACGTTACATTGCATTCCATTCCATTCCATTCCATTACATTACATTACATTGCATGATGTTTCACCACATTACATTACATTACATTACATTACATTAAGTTACATTACATTACATTAAATTACATTACATCGCATGATGTTTCACTACATTACATTACATTACATTACATTAAGTTACATTACATTACATTAAATTACATTACATCGCATGATGTTTCACTACATTACATTACATTACATGACATTACATTACATTGCATGATGTTTCACTACATTACATTACATTACATTAAATTACATTACATTGCATGATGTTTCACTACATTACATTACATTACATTCCATTCCATTACATTACATTACATTGCATGATGTTTCACAACATTACATTACATTACATTACATTAATCTCACTGTAACTGTCCTCCAAACTGCGGTCACACCTTTTTACAGCATGGGGCATGGAATGCTGGTCGAAGCCAGGCTTGGGGTTCGGCCTTCTTCACTGGCATGGGTGGCACAGTGGGTGGGCCAGTGAAAAATGACCAAGAAAAGAAACATGTTTCACATGTTAAATTGACATGTCATGTTGCACATGCACAGACAGGTCTAAATCACTTGAACCAGTTTCTCGGACGTTCACAACGTTCACTGCAGTTTCACTCGATTAGTTCGCATTCTTTCAGATAGCTTCATTAATCTCACTGTAACTGTCCTCCAAACTGCGGTCACACCTTTTTACAGCATGGGGCATGGAATGCTGGTCGAAGCCACCCCTCGTAGCTAATTCCAGTAGACCATTCCACATGCTGTCAAGGTTGATCTGAAATTGTTGCACACCTTGTGTAAGAAGTTTCTGTATCTCACCTCGCGACGGGTCGTCAGCCACATTGGATTCTGAAGGAACTCTGCTGAACCAAGCGTTCCATTTCAAATCAAATTCAAGTTGGAGGAACGCTACCAAAATCGGGGTAGCATTGTAGCTGGAGGTCTGACAAGCTATGAGCGCATCCTTTACGCCCTCATTATCAGTGCACACCATCACCTGCGAATCTTGTAAGTGTTGTGACCAGCATGTCATTGCAACAAAAATTGCAAGTAGTTCACATTCGAAAATGATGGTCTTCCGCTTGGTGATGTTGAGCTTGGCCAGCAAATCTTCTGTAAGAAAAACTGAAAAGAAACCTCTGTACCTGCCAAATTGATCAACCAACACAGCTCCAATTCCAGCTGTCTTTTCTGCATTATCCGGTTCATAGCATGCGTCTGTAAAGATGTACCAGGAGCGTCCCGTTGTCAAGGAAACCTCCCTCGGCACATCCATCAAGATCAGTTGATGAAAAAGCTTCAACGCATGACGCGTCTCGTCAGAGATGGTCGGGCCACATTCACCATAGGCATGCTTTGTAATGAGTGCTAATGAACGCTTAGCAATACGGCCAAAAATCTGACCAGCCACAAATTGTAACCTTCCTCTCAAACGCAATGCATCAGGCCTGATTAACGTGCCTGTGTCAAGGATCTGGGCGATGGCGGCCGCGATCTCAGCTTTTCGGCTCTCAGTGTTGTCGATCCGAACACGGCCGCGATGAAGAAGGGAAACATCAATCGTCGCCCCAAGAGCTGCAACAACGCTGGCAAACGGTGGTGCTTTGTCTCCGGTCTCAGCGAAGATCCACCCCAGCATCTTGAACGTTAACGTCACAGCAGCGGTGACCGAAGTCGTTTCACATGAGGTGGCCAGGGCGACAAAATCGTCGAAGTAATTTGAAATGAACACACCAAAAATTGAAACCATGATCGCCCACAGGCTGTGGGACAGCCGTAGAAAAGAATGTACTGACATGACACTGCCGAATGGGAGCGCCTTCATTTTGAAGCATTTGATTCGCTTCTCTGCAGGATGAGCCACCGCGATGTAGCTGTACTTGGAGTGCTCAGGGTGGATAGCGCACTGCTGGTACGCCCTCTTCAGATCGAAGCTCCTTGCCTCCCATGTGGAATCTCTTGTTGCTACCTTCATCAAAGCCAGGCACATGCTGCACAAAATGTCAACCGTATGTGGCTTCGGCGATTCACATGTCTGAGCGCAAGCATTGATGGAGGATTGGGTGAAATCATCCACACATCTCACCTTTGATGATTGCTTGATGCCAAATCGCCTGCTCAAAGGATATTCCTGAGGTACCTGTTCAACCTCATACGGGCCAGATAGCTCTCCGGCCTCAACCTCGTCCAACGTTTGATTCCAGACGGCGTTCAATGTTTCATCATCCATAAATTCAAAAGATTTGTAATTCAAGACTGATCGTTGCGACATCGCGATGTGGGACAGGTCGCTTTCGGTGAGTGAGGCAGGCTTGAACTTCTTCGGCCACAAACCTGTCGATTGAGCCTCACCCACCAATTTTGTTCCACTCACAAACTCGTTCACGACATCCATGTCCTCATATTCAATTGATTCAAGCATCTGTTTCCACAAGAGAATGCGCTTTCCACGCAGGACACTAGCCACTGCTGGATCCAGGTTGCTATGAAATTCACTTTCATCACCTTTAAGCTCCATTGCCCTCTTCAGCCAAAACTTCACTGCCGTAAGTCTGCTGTCCACCCTGTCGCAGCTGCTCATTGTCTCATAGTTAGTCAGTAGGGACTGCAACCTTGGTGGAAGGAATGTCGCCATGTCCATTGGATGGCCGGCTTTGACCACCTCCTGCACAAATTGTTCAGGTTCCCAAGGCACCCCCCATGTCTGAATCACGCACGACGAATCCAGGGTAGGGGTGCCTACTTTGAAAATCTCCGGTTGGGCAGGCATCTCATCCCCCGTGACCAGGTTGTCCACCGGAGCAAGTGCCAAAAGTTTGGAGCCTTTTGGAAGGGTCTGTGTTGGTGAGGAGGAGATTGTAACATCCTTGCGCACTCTTTGAAAAATATTAACGTCAGGCAGCGCGTCTGAGTGGCCGCCAATCCGAAACCTCAACTTGTATGTAGGCACCAGGGCAGGAATCCGGCTAGACCTTGATTGTGTGCCGGTTGCAGCCCGCATCTTCTGCAACGCTTGGAGTGCCACAGGCTGCACAGCTTCCAACGTTTCTGGATTGCCTTTGATGCCAAGGTTTAACAGACAACGCACAATGACCATTGCAATCATCTTCGCCAACCCCATTGGGTATGCAGTTTCTTCAGCTGTCGCAAAAGACTTTGTCTTGCGGTTAAAACCCCATTGCGCATGCTTATGCTTGCTGTTCTGTCCTTTGCAGGTGGCATTTATCGCATGAAATTCACTGACATTGAAAGCCAACATAGTCTTCTTTTGTCGCGCACTTCCATACTGACATGAATGAAATACAGAATATTGTAAAAGATGTGCAACTTGTTGCCAAAAGGTTGTGGTCCAAAAGAAACTGAACTGCGGATTTTCCACACATACAATGACTCCGTTTTCAACGGCCCATTCCACAATCTGTGCAGTAAGAAAATAAAGTTGATTTGCCAATGAGACCCTACGATTATCTGTATCAGAGAGGTTAGGGAGCCCATTGGGGTGTTCATCATCCCGCAAAGGTCGTGGTCCATGACGTCCCCTTTCAGGATGACCGAAACGTTTTCGCTTCAGCGGTATCTGTCTCGCTCTTGAGGCTGATCCACATGGCGGCGCCAAAAAGACTGCTAGAACTCGTTCATTCTGCAGCCACGACCAGAGTAGTGCAACCCCTTCAGGCGTGCACAGGTCTGCAACGATCACAGGCCCTGAGGCGTTTTTACCTCTTTGGTGATCTACACCAAAACTGCTGCCTAAACCCAACTGGCGTAGGCTTGCTGTAACCCGGCAGCTTCCTGCAAAGATCTCGATGACCAAACAATCGGCCAAGGAGGCCCCAGCAGCTGCCGCATCGTTGATGCGTTTGTATAGTCAATTGGGCTTCGCGGACCCCTTCTCCTTCGGGTGTTCAGATTCAGGATGAGGTGCATGACATCCACGTCGCATGCAAAGGTGGAAGCCCCTTTCACATTCGCCACCATTCGGGACCCGGGAGCAACGGCCCAAGTTGAACTCAAAGCAAAGCCTCCGGCTATGAGCATCAAGAGATACGTTGTCTCTTCCTTGCAGCTCCTTGGGCACCATTGCTGCTGCCTTCTTTGTCTTACCTTTTCCCTTTCCAGCTTTGCCTTGCCCCTTTGAGTAAGGCTGCTGCGGGTTCCTGCGGCCCTGCGGCCAGTTTCCATAAGACGGTGCTGCTGCTGATGCTTTGGGCTCAGACCTTTCGATCTTCTTCGGCAGCGGCATCAAGCTGAAGCCAACCTCATACGACGACACTGCTTCCAAGATGGCGGTGTCCATAGGCAAGGTGTTGTCAGGAGCCCTCCGCATCGATACATCTCTCTGGACCATGTGCAGAAAAACATCTCTGTCAGCACGGAGGACCTGTTGCAACGTTGTCTTGCTATACCCTTCAGGGGCCTCGTTCCTCATGTGTTGGAACAAACGTTGCAAGTACCGCTCATGCACCTCCCACGTCAGTGAGTCCGTGAATGCCAGTGCTATACCACGGCGTCGTAGGGCTTCATAGACCTGCATCTCTGTTGACACCTGCTGGTCTGGCACTGACTGTTCGCTCTTGACAAGCAGCTTGTCAGTGTCAATTGACAACTGCTTTGAGGTCTTCGACATAGTGATCTCCCATTCTCGGGAGGTGCATTTCTCCGGGGACAAGTAGGCCAGTTGCTTGGCCTCCCATTGCTGTGCCACCGCATCCAACAGCGCATAGCTTGGCTCCAGCGCCTTCTCTATGACCACACCCACCAGGCGCGCTTTCAAGTTCTGCATCTTGGTGCTGCGCTCGATTGCAGGGAGTTTTCTGGTGGTGGCAGCGTCCGGGTTCACAACCTGATCTCTCAGCTGGGCCAGTAAGACAGTCTGCCCTTCGAAAACCAAACGCTTCAGAGTGCTGGTGTCGGCCAAAGTAGCTAGTCCACCCAAGACATTTTGGGCAAACCGCTGGAACTCAGCCTCGTTGAGAGGTTGCCCAGGTTGGCCGCTGGCAAATGCTAGCTGGCCCAGATTTGTGTACCCTGCTGCAATCACTGCAGCCAGCCCACGGTCAGACAGACCTGTTTCCTGGCATCTCTTCCTGAAGTGAGCTTCAGACTCTACTATGGAGGTCATGGCTGCAGTTCACCGGCAAACGAAAGATTCAAAGTCAGTGCAAAACAAAAATAAACATGCCGTTCTCCGACCTGATGCAATTCAACCCATGCAAGTCGCACTGTAGCTGAAACTGAAAGACGGAACAATGTTCAACAGCACATACTGTTGCAATCAAGTGCAAATTAAAATAGGTGTACAACTGCAACTACATGTAGATTTGATACACACTGACAGCTTGCATGTTCAAGCACATGCTGAACGTAAGGGCCACAAAAAGGCTGCACCACACCACATGGATCATGACCACTTGGTCTTGATTAGTGCCACATGGCACTGCCGGCACATGCCGTCTGCTATGCACATGCATAGCTGGGCCATCCCACATGGAATGGCCTGCACCAACATAGGTGCTAATACCACCAACATAGGTGGTTGTCCCACATGGGACGTGCCAACACATGTTGGGCACCATCACTGAGAAAAACCAACGGACATGAGTGGACAGTTGCACATGTGATGATGCTGAAATGACACTTGTCAATGGTGGTGCAAGCCATGAGCTTTTTCTCCTGCAGCACAACAGGGTCATCGAAAATTAGCCCAAGGGTCCCTTTTGCCCTTGAAACAGAGCCGGCACTTCGAGGTCCAGTCCTCAATGGTGGTGACCACCGCGAAGTTGGCACCTGCCAGCCGCCCACACTTGGTTGCTCTGTTCTGCACAAGCTCGCCATTGGCGTAGACCGATCCTGACACCAGGCTCCCTGCACCAGCGATGGCGTGGATGACCTTGGTCTTCTTGTGCTGAACCCAGGCGTCATCTGCATCCTCATTTAGGACGTTGGCGTCTGACGGCTCTAGCTCGCCCTCAGCCTCAGGCTCTGATGTCGCGAATTCCTCTCCACTTGTAGAGGTCTCAGACTCCGTAGTGACGAGGTCGATCTCTTCTGTTATGCATGGAGCTCCATCGGGTGCAACCGCCTCTTCCTTGACCTCTTGGCCAGGCAGTTCCCGCTCCAGTGCATCATGCGGCGCCACTGCTGGCGTCATTGGCATCTTGAAGTTGCCTGGCGTCCTGGGCTGGAAGACCGGCGCATCAGGCTTGGCCGGGTTCCCTTCTGGGAAGAAATTCGCTCTGTCCCCATCAGGCATAAACCGATCCTCCCTGATGAGTTTCACCACAGCGCCAAGGGCTCTGACGGGGTCCACCATGAGGTCGGTAGCATAGATGCTATCTGAGCCTTGCACCGCACTTGCATGCCGCCCCAGGAGGCGTCGGTGCTCCCTGTCCAAGCCTGCTTTTGCTGCCCAGCTTAAGGCTGTCCTCTTCAATGAGTGCGACTTCAAGTCCGGGTCATCGCACTGCAGAAAAGCGCGCAGCAACTTTGTAGTCTCTGCGCAAGAGATGGGTCGTACTGCCCACGTTCCAGCTGACCTGACATCTGGCGCGGGCATCACGGCACCTTCCAAAAGGCCAGAAGTGGCCAACCCGGCTTTCTTCCTGAGAGCCATCCAAATGTCCAGCCAAGGCTCAGGTCCGACAGACTCACCGCATGCGATGATGGGCATCAGCAGTGACTTCGTCTCAACTGACCGTGCCGATTTGTGATACCTTGTCGTAAACTGTATGAAGCCGCTGAACTCATCATGCCCATCTTTGAGCGTGCTATCATGAGAGATGTCGTGAACATGAGCCAGGTCACTGTTGCGACTCCTTGTGTATACCATCAGCACAAGATGGCTGCAGATCAACCTCTCTTTCAGGTCATTCGACGGGTCTGCCATGAACTTCTGCAGCTTGCGAACTTCAGTCACCGTCAATGGCCTGGCCTGTTTTGTTGGGCCTTTCAGGGATGCCTGAATCTCCGACTGCCCCACAAGTCGTCTGCTAGCCACACACTCATCAGCTCCATCAACCTGCAGTACGTACTGGCAGAACCTGAGCGTCTGGATGAATGACAACGCCTTGGTTGCTGCAGCTCCGCAATTGCGCAGGTGGACCAAGTAGTCCCAAACCATCTGCTCCGAGAAGGGGAAAGCCACAGCATCCACCCAGGTTATCAACCAACGCTGGAAGGCCAGCACCGCGTTGCATCGCTTGATGACTGTTGATGGTGATCTAGTCCCCACGATGGACACCAGCGTCTCCTCCATGTCGGCGCGTGGTGTCCCTGTAGCATCAATGCACAGCCTCCCAACTCCACTGAACTCCCAGCCGATCTCCAACACGCACTTCAATTTCAACAAAGCTTGTTTCATCTGCTTCTCCCGTGATTGTATGAAGTCCATGTCTGCAAGGTTCCTGACACACTTCATGATACTGAACTCCACGGGTTGAACAGCCTGTGGAACTGCCTCAGGCATTGCATGTTTCAAGGGGTCCACAAACGTGTCACTCCACTGTGCAGGCATGGACAGCTTCGCACTTGCAATTTCGTTGCCAAAAATTGGCGCCATGAAATCATTCTCCCAAGGCATCACTATTTGCGAGGGAGACATACGATCTATAAAGGAGTTCACAAAAGCTGCGGCATCGTCACTGCTAGAGCTAACTTTTGCCAGCCCTGCTTTTGGAGGTTCAGGAGGAAATGCATCTGGGAGCACAGATGGGCTGTATTCTGTTTCTGCGGTCATCTTTCTTTTGCATGCCCACCTCTTCCTGTATCCTCTGAGATCATCTCCAAGCGCCTCATCATCGGCCTCACAAGTTGCCTCTGCTGAGTAACCGAGGCCTTCCGGTTGCGCCACCTCCAGGTAAACATCTGAGACGCCTGGGAGGATTCCCAGTGAGCCACTAGCACCATCTGCATGTGGCTCATCATCAACGTTGACAGGCATGCCACTGGCAGGAGTATCGGACGAGCAACCGAAGAAACCATCGTGAATATCCATGGCACACTAACTACCCCCGCCAGTGAAAAATGACCAAGAAAAGAAACATGTTTCACATGTTAAATTGACATGTCATGTTGCACATGCACAGACATGAAAAATGACCAAGAAAAGAAACATGTTTCACATGTTAAATTGACATGTCATGTTGCACATGCACAGACAGGTCTAAATCACTTGAACCAGTTTCTCGGACGTTCACAACGTTCACTGCAGTTTCACTCGATTAGTTCGCATTCTTTCAGATAGCTTCATTTTGTTTGCTTTTGCCTTCAAAAACAATTAGTATATTTGCAAACGACCCTCACAAACATGTGCCATGAATCACTCTGCATTTTTTCGTGGGGAAAAGGACGCCTTGCAGCCACTTGCTCATGCAGCCATTTGAAACCACTTGCAACCACTTGCAACCATTTGCCCAAGCAGCCGCAAATGGCTGCAAGTGGCTGCAAATGGCTGCTTGGGCAAGTGGCTGCAAGTGGCTGCAGGTGGCTGCAGGTGGCTGCCGCCACGTGCCATCTTGAAAAAAAAAATGGTTTTGTAAAACATTTTTTTTTCAAGATTGTCTGCAGTAGAATGCTAGCAGCCATGCACCAGCAGCTACCCGCACCGATTGAAACATAGGTATACAAACTGTTTCGGAGAAAAACAAAGGGCCAAATTGTTTGTATATTTCGACTACCTGTTTAGTGGTTTTTGTGGGTTGTTTAATGATGGTTTGCCTTAGGTGATTGACAAGCGTGGTTTGTAAGTCGCCGTTTCGCGGGTCATAATATTCGAATCGCCTAACAGCCGAAATGACAAAAGGGTGTTAAACACCACAAACAAACCGCAAAAACACCCAGGGCAGCAGCTGCGGCTTGTTTTCATCTTGAGCCAAACAAGCAATAACAACCATGTTCAGAAATGGTCTCTACAGTGAACAATATGGGTATGATTTACGCTGTATTTTTCAAGTCCCCCCTGACGACGAACCGTACAGGGTTGTTACTCCTAACACTAACAAATGCATCCTACTCGTGGGCCCTACGGTCGGAAGCAAATCTCACAGCTCATTAAGATGGATTCCAGGCAAGAGATGGCAGAAATCAATTCGGTGATCTCGACTTGACTGGCAATTAAACTACACGGATGCTTGAGAGGAGGCGCGAAGCAGCCAAACTCGGCATTAATTGGGCGGTACACGTGGAAGGGGCGCTGACGCAGCCTAAAATCCACGAGCAAAACGGATGAAAGACATTTACTGTCGAGGAGAAATTCAAGGACGTGACTACGCAAAATCCAAGAAAATCTATGAGAATTAAAGCAGATGGGACTTAGTCACATCCACTAAACATGATTCACGTTCGAACGTAACACAAAGTCAGGTTTTTGATGCCATCGGTCGTAAAAACGGATATCCTGAACGCATACGAAATGCGAAGATAACTTAGCAGAAAAAACTTCAGGTCTTGAGCGACACTATGAAGCTTGAGTGCAGGATCCCACACAAACACACTTAGGAACTTTGTGAGTACATCGGCTTGCTGCTTCAGCGTCTCAATGTATTCTGCATTGATGTCAGGCTCATTGCAAGCCTCACAGGTTGAAGCAACGTTGATTCTATGAAATTTGCTCAAATGCCTTAACTTGGGAGAGAACCCACAGGCAATGATGGCGAGAACAGCCTGATTGTCCCCGTAGCAATTCAACACGATCTCTGGTGTGATGAGCTGCTGGCAAATCTCAAGCAACCGCACTGCTTCAGTAAAAAGAGATGTAGTCAGTGAAACGAACTCATTTCGGTTGATGATCTCGAAACTGCACGCTGCCGCTTGCTACACCATAAAATCAAAGCGAATGATCGCGGACCTTCAAGTGCAAGCTGATACCCATAAGTTGATTTCATGCCGGGTGCGCTGCCAAAATCGGCATCAGCCTATATTGACAATCGCAGGTCGGACGGCTTGTCAAGAACAATCATGACATGACAGTGATCCAGAGCTGCGGCAACATAACCAGCAAGCCTGGTCATACGCTTGTCATCATTGACGGTCCACTTGGTGATGTGACCTGCACAAACATTGATCGCAACCATAAGGTCTGGTCTGCTGATACGACCAAGCCACATGAACTTCATCACAAGCTTG